TTTTTCACAGTCACCTGATATGTGTGAGAATCTGTCTGAGTCACCCTCATGGCTGACTAAGCAAAACTCATCGCAGGAATAAATGTACAAAAATATTCAATCCGCTCGCGTACAAACTCGTAAAAGTGAAAAAAAAGCGAAAAATATTCCCTTAGCCTCAGTCTGACTTCAGGTTACAGGGAAAATGATTTCATAGTGATTCTAGGGCATAGGGGCTCATAGGAGAGTATCAGTCATCCATGCACTGAACCAGTTTGGTGCAGGTCACCGGCAGAGATCCTGGTGGATGCACTGGACGAGGGGGAGCCTACCGCTGTTAACGAACATAACAGCGGCAACAGTAATAATAATAACTTACCTCATAGCGTCCAGCCCATCACCACTACCTTGCAGCAGCAACCTCAACCATCTACCGCCCAGCAACCTCAACCATCTACTGAGCAGCAACCTCAGCCATCTACTCCTCCAAGGATGACGAGGACCAGATCTCCTCCAGGCTACTATGCGAGCCTGAATGAAGGCAGCAATGCAGCGGCCATAGTGATGGAGAACCTGTTGGAAGCGTCAGAGGTAGATTTATTGGACGAAGAGACTCACCTTCAACTTGCCTTGGCAGTTGCCCAACCAGAGCCCACCTTGCAGCAGGCATTACACGGACCGGATGGAGTAGAGTGGCAAGAAGCTGTTGATTACGAGATCAGTCAACTTGAGAAGTTGGGGACGTGGGAAGTAGTAGACTTACCTCGTGGCGCTAACCTCATCCCCTGCCATTTCGTTTTGGCCACGAAACGTGGACCCGACGGCGAAAAACTCAAACTGCGGGCACGACTCGTTGCCAACGGCCAGAAGCAGCAATTTGGCGTCGACTACTTCGACATGTTCGCGCCAACAGCCAACATGAGCACCATATGCACTGTCCTGACGATGGTGGCTCAGAGAGACTGGGAGATCCACCAAGTTGACATAAAAAGTGCATACCTCTATGCGAGCATCCAGGAGGAAATTTACATGCGCGCGCCGCACGGATATCTCATGGAGAGTCAGCGCGGAAAAGTATTGAGGTTGAGGAGAAGCTTACCAGGGTTGAAGCAGGCTGGCTTCGAGTGGGCAGAAGAGTTAGCGGGGGTCTTCACGAAGATAGGTTTCAGCCGGTCCAAGGTGGACCAGGCGGTCTACTACAAGTGCGCCCCAGACGAGCACGTCATCATCACCGTCTCTGTGGACGACATGGCCGTTACAGCCAACAGAACCTCCCACATCACCCGCTTTAAGTCGCGACTCCGCGAATTTTCCGAAATAACAGATCTAGGGGAGCTAAATTGGCTGTTAGGACTGAAGGTAACCAGAGACCGGGTTGCACGTACCATAACGCTCTCCCAGAAGGCCTACGTCGACACGATGACCTGCACCAAACTGGTTCGGTGCATGGATGACCGATACTCTCCTATGAGCCCCTATGCCCTAGAATCACTATGAAATCATTTTCCCTGTGACCTGAAGTCAGACTGAGGCTAAGGGAATATTTTTCGCTTTTTTTCACTTTTACGAGTTTGTACGTGAGCGGATTGAATATTTTTGCACATTTATTCCTGCGATGAGTTTTGCTTAGTCAGCCATGAGGGTGACTCAGACAGATTCTCACACATATCAGGTGACTGTGAAAAATATGTTTGCATAAGATTACCCTGTGGGAAAGCTTACAAATCACTAAACACGCGTCCTATGTCATTATGCTACCAGTCAATTCATCAGCCACAGATTTTATAAACATATGTACACAATATGTAATCATTTCTCACTCTTGTCTAGCTGAGTCATCAAGGGTCACCTGACCCATGAGCCATACGCAGCTCTTGCTGACTCATCATTATACCAACTAGAGTTATGAATATTTACTTTTGACTCAAAGATACCGTGTGACTTGGTACTATCGAACTAAAGTTACAACTTTAAGTACGAGAAACTAGTAGTATAGCCACCAAATTTGTCTATATAAGGACCAGCTTTTTGCCCAATAAAACAAGCAGTTCCCCACTGTTTTTAACCCTCAGAATAAAAATTGTGAGTGAAGTGTGAATCAGCAACCAGCAAGTGCAGTTCAAGGTTGGAGCTCATTGTGCTCAACAACCAGCACCACACTTTCGAGCTCATTGTGCTGAACAGCTAGCACATACCTTGAGCTCACTGTGTCTGACGACTAGCAAGACTAGTCTTTCTTTTTCTGTTTTTCTCCTGATTGTCTGTCTGAATTTCTCTGTTTCTTTTTGTGTCATTGTCTGTGTCTCTGTCTGTGATTTTCTCTGTGATTTGTCTCTGTCTCTGTCTCTGTTTTTCTGAGTGTCTGTGTGTTTGTTTTTCTCTCTTTTTTCTCTGAGATCGTGTCTGAGATTCGTGACTGAAGCTCATGTTCTCTGTTTCTCTCTCTGTTTCTCTGTTTCTCTGTTTCTCTGTTTCTGTTTCTCTCTCTCTGTCTCAAGTGTGTGGTGTGTTGGTGACTGTCTATACTGACCATCTCTCTGATTGCTGTCTGTTTGCTTTGTGATCGTTGTTGCTAACAGTCTCCGTGATCGTGGTCGTGATTGTGTTTGTGTTTTTGTTGTAGTAGTCTCGTTTTGTTGATTGACTCGACTTATCAACTTTCTCTCAAGTACCAAAGTTTCAGTCTCATTCTTACCCAGAAGTTTGGTGTTGTCTCTTTTGTCCACGGAAGACTCTGATAGTCTAGTGGAGAGACTTTAGGTGTTGACAGTGATACCTGACCTCTTACATCTGTGTGTTATACCGATCGAGGGTAGTCATTTGCGAGTTAGACTTTAGCTATTGAAAAGGGGACTTGGTATTGAAGTCCAAGGTCGCCCGTTCCTGAGTCTGTTTAATACTCATTGTGAGTTCCTTGGCAGCAGGTTCAATATTAGGCTAAGAGTGCTACAAAGGCTTGACTAGGCCTGACGGTAGTTTCACCTGTTTTTGTATTGAGGGGGACTCTCATTGTAACTCCGCACAACTTGCTGCACTAAGTTTGTGTACGAATCCTTGTTGCTGTGTGAAGTGTTAGGAAGAGTGTCTGTTTGTTTTGTGTCATCTCTATATTGTTAGAGTGACTGTGTTTCCTGATTTGTTTGTTGTTGTCTGTGTTGTTGTGATTGTTGTTGTTGTTGTCGATCGCTGACTGACCGAGTTCTGTGTTTTTCTCTCATCGCTGTGTTTCATATCCATATTGTTGGATTGACTGTTGACTGCTGATCACTGACTACTGACTTTTCGTGCGAGCCATATTCTACTGACTGTATCTTAGGAGCAAGGCAAGCCACCCACGAACGACCACGTTATCAGTCATTGGTATTTGTCTGAATCGCTGACCGTGGAGATATTTGGTTTTATAGGTGTTCATCTATAGATCAACTATCTAAGAAGACAACGATTGTCGAGCGTTTCTACATGGCCGACGCTAAGGGTGCGCAAACGCCAATGGAACCAACACTCACCTTGTCCGTTGAGCAGGGACCAGTCACAGTCGCCGAAATCCATGATATGCGGGACGTGCCCTATCAGCGGGCCATCGGGTCGCTGATGTACGCGGCTACCAGCACACGTCCAGACATAGCCTTCCCAATCGCCATGCTCTCACAGTTCATGTGTAACCCAGGCAGAGGCCACCAAGAGAGCACTCCAATACCTAAAAGGTACTGGGGACTTCGAGCTGACATTGGGATCAATGGATGGAGGCCTGGAGGCTTTCGTAGATGCCGATTGGGCATCCCAGCCCCACAGGTACTCCATGTCCGGGTATGTGGTCCTCCTGAATGGTGGTCCGGTGGCGTGGAGCGCGCGCAAGCAGCCGCTGATCTCATTGTCGACAGCAGAGGCCGAATACATAGCCCTGACCAGTGTCATCCGAGAGCTATTATACCTCCAGTTACTGATAGGGGAGCTGTACGAGCCTGTCCCGCACCCCATACCCGTGTTCTGCGACAACCAAGCCGCGATAGCATTAGCATCGAACGGCAAGTTCCAATCACGCACCAAACACATTGACCTCAGATACCACTTCATCCGCTCCCACGTCAGAAATGGCATCTTCAAGCTATTCTACTGCCCCTCCGAAGAAAACGTCGCCGATGCCTTCACAAAGGCATTGCCTCGCCCACGCTTACAGAAGCTACGAACGATGATGAGCCTGGCTTGCGCTCGAGGGGGAGTGTTGGAGTCTGAGGCCGAGACGTCCAAGTCAAGGGGAAGATCAGAGTCGAGAGAGGCCGAAGGATCCGAGCGATAAGGGCAGATAGGTCCGAGCGCACACCAAACAGGACAAAGACAAGCGATGTATGACGTCGGCTCGCATCCTAAAATCTTTTCAATGTCTATCAATCATATATTCCTGTAACCACGCCACTTACCTTATAAGCACGAAGTGCAGCGCCCAAACATCTCAGTCGTTTCGAATGAACTGAGATGTGAGTATCTTTGTCGTACCAGCCGTTAACGTTGAACTAACAGCTCGTAGTCACCTTTGTGTTCTAGGTACATAGATCAATATGAGTTGTTTCGAACGAACTGAGATTTACCTTTGTGTTCTAGTGATTGGCTCCTCGTCGTGCATACTCTCGCGCTCGTATAACACCTTTACGGTATTTTCGACATTAACTCAAACAACCAATTTAAGTCTAAGTCCCTCAGATATCGCCACTCTACACTCGAGGCGGGGACTGGGAAGGAGCCTGCGAAGAGCTGCCAGTGGCTTCGAGAACAGCCACAAAGTAAGTGGCAACAAGTCGCTTTGCCAGAAGATTCATCACGTTTCATTAATATTTCTCCCTGAAAACGTGGGGGGAGGACGTCTTCTGTTCAGTTTTCGAGAATCATGCAATATCAAAATGTCGAGATGATACCAAGTAGATGAATAAAAATCACGAGCTACAGCAAAAAACTGTGGACAAATCCGGACTCGAACCGGAGACCCCCCGCATGCTAAGCGGATGTGATAACCAGCTACACCATATGCCCTACGAACTGTTGCAGACATTTGACCACTTTGATACCATTGATATGACTCATCGATTTCTCGAGCTTGGATATTTGAATCGATCAACTTGAACAATATCCACGATGGCTGGCATGATGACGATCAAACTTGTATTCAGCGGTGGACTCGAGTTGCTATTTGACAACGAGCGGAATCAATCGGTTCTCATCCCTTCATTTGTGCCATCTGATAATTCCACACACTCTCCTCCGTCCTCATCTTCATCTACTTCATCATCATACAACGATACGCCCTCCACAGGAGAAACGAAGGCAGCAGATCTGGAGTACTTGATTTATCACCTTCGTGATCATTTACTCAAAGAGCGCCCGGAATTGTTTATGGAGAATGGGACGATGTGCGCTGTCTCTGTTTCTACTGAATCTTTACCTCACCTCATAGTCTCTCTAGCCGCCCAGGGATCCTTGTGCTGATTAACAACACGGATTGGGAGCTTGAAGGGGAAGGTTCCTACCAACTTCGCAATAACGATGAGATCGTTTTCATCTCAACGCTACATGGCGGATGAGGAAATTCGTGTAGCATCGAGAAAACTACGAGATATGTTCATGACGTCGGGTTGGGGATGAATAAGGTCCTCTTATGGCTGAATATCCCGCTAGCAATCATTGGCACGGGGACCCGCTTCTATAGAAGTGGACGAAACGCGTTGTTTCGGACCCCCAGCTCACAACAGTATGTACATCTCCTGTACATCGCCTACTTAGGTGTGGGCTACAATCGCCCTTCCTGTCAGGAATAAAGCGACACATGCCGGCGCGAGAACTGGCTAGTGGGCTTGAATGACTGCCTGATGGTAAATCTTTTGTAACACATACATCAGTCTATGATCATAAGGGAGAAAGAAATGATTACATACATGGTTGAACCGCTAAACCTTGACCGTTCTAGCCTGCTGGACATATTTCTGCATGAGCACAACCACCCTCTTGAGGTTCTGACTCATCTTTGCCGAGGTAGGAATGACATCGAGTATGCGCTCCCCGTCCGGCGTCTTCACGACCATTTCTGTCTTGACGTACTCCTCGAGCCTCCTTAGCTTTTTACGCGCCTCCTCGACCGCGTCCTGATCCCCTTCGCCACCCAACAAGTCCGCTTTGTTCGCTATAACCATATGAGCTTTGCCACTCATTCCAGGTTGGTATTTCTCTAGCTCGTCTTTCAAGTCTCTAAGCTCGTCCCACGGTTCTGGGCGAGACAAGTCCACAACATAGACGAGTGCGAGGGATCGTTCCATTGAGCGCAGGAAGGAATGACCTAGACCAACATTTTCTGATGCACCGGATATGAGCCCAGGATTGTCCGCGACGGTGAAGCGAAAGGTCTCATGAACGTCAAAATCGTAGCCTGGTTCTATGTCAGGCCGTGGGGGATCAGGTGAATTATGTTCTAAGCGCAGTTGTTCTTCGGAACTTTCTATGTCGGAAAGTTCGCGCTCCCGGAGGCGCTCTTCCTCAATAGCAGTTTCATCGAAAATATTTTCACCCTGAAGGGCGCCTTCGAAGGTTCCATCTTCTGCTACACGAATTACACCAACAATGGGGTTAAGTGTAGTAAACGCATAGCCAGCAACCTCGGTCTTCGCCCGACCGCCAGTCAAAGCGCGAAGAAGAGTGCTCTTGCCCGCGTTCGGCATCCCGACAAGTCCAATATCCGCGAGAATCTTGAGTTCGAGGTATAACGTTAAACGCTCACCCTCGTGTCCCCGCGTTGCAAATTTGGGTGAACGGCTGATGGGTGACAAGAAATGCGGATTGCCCAACCCACCATTGCCACCCCGCGCGACGATATGTCCAAGCCACTCCTGCTGGCCCATTCCAAGAGGTGCATCATCAGAAATCACGACTTCCTCCGTCTTGTCCAAGTCGAGATTGATGGGCGATAGCAACCTCTGTTTCCTAGCCCAACGCCTGGCTCTCTCCTCGCGGTAAAGAGCTGCCTCCGCCTGTTTGAACACATCACGATTGACATTATCATCCGCATACCGCGGATAATGCACCCATCTGTTATCCCGAAGCTTCGCATGACGTTCCTCGGGACTGAGCCCCTCCAGCCCCTCCTCCTCCGCTTCCCATTCATCCTTCGCGCGTCGTGAGTCGCCTGGAAGAAGTTCGCGTACCACTGTGCCTAGAGGAACTTTTATGATTATTGGTGGTGCGTTTTTGCCGTTCTGCCATGTCCCTTGGCCATTTCCGCCTGCGGCGCCTCGTACGCGTTTTGGGATGGATGAAAGACTTGAAAGATTGGGTGAAGGGAAAATATAGACGTCGCCTCCACGTCCGCCGCTACCACCTGAAGGAGGCCCCATGGGCTTCCATTTTTCTCGGTGGAAAGCAACGCATCCGTCACCTCCATTGCCTGCATGATGTTGAGTATGCACGAGTGAATTCAGACATGTACACACCTCCTCGAACATTGATTATAACGTTGTCAAGGAAGGATTGACCCTGCACGATGTTATTATCAGGTGGTACGCGTATACCTAGAGGTGCAACTCACCCCTTGTCTTCGCTTCCACTCAGTCTTTCGTTGCCGTCGAAGAAAATCCTGTAAGTTGTCTTCATCCTCTTGTGTCTCTATGGCAGCATTCGAAGCTTCCTGACGCGCTGCGCCACTGCAGTAGAATAGCCGTTTCTGTCTGAATAGAGACCTGCAGGATAGTCTTAACATACAAGCGATGAAATTTCGAAGTAAAAACCGGATGAGCCTAAAGAAGTAAACATTACATAATTACAAACACTGACTGAATAACTCTACAGTACTACTAAGTAGTAGTACACCGATTCAATATAGTCAAAATATATATTACAGTAGTACTATGTTTTTACAATCGGCAAAAGGTCATACATAATGTTGCCTAGTACACTAACAGTCTTTATAACTGAAGTGTGAGTAAAATCGTAAGCTTCAAGACATATACAAGCGTCAAAATCGTCAGACCGAAGTACGTCTTTCAATAGCATCCCATCACAATCTGTTTTAACTTTCCTGTGGGCGGCCTGTCAAACCTAATAGATGGCTTGGTGTCAGTGCATGGGCAGACCCTTCCCGCGGTCGTTCTGTTCGTAACTCGTTTCTTGAACTTGACGGAGACACCGGCTTTAGTGGCAGTTGTGGTGAGGTTATGAGCGTGGAGGTACTGATGCGCAACAAAAGCGACGCGGCAGTTTTATCCTCTGGAGTGTACACTGGCGAGGACAATGCTGTGTCGCTGGGACTCCGTCGTGGAGAAAACCCAGAAAAACAAGGTTGAATCTGTGTTCCCGACTGCGGAAGGGATGTACTCGGAGAGGGGAGGGTCAGAACGGGTGGAACTCCGGAGACGGAGGAGGAGCTCGTGAATATTGCGGAAGTTGGAGGTGTTGGAAGCTGTTGTGATGGAGACTTTGAAGAGCTCGAAACTGGCCGGGTAGATGGTGACTGGGACGAAGTCAGGGCTCTTCGAGTCCGTTCTTGCGAATGTGGAAGCCAGGTAGAGATGGATGGCAGGCGGGAGGACGAGTCCTCAATGGATCCCACTTCAGTCATTGCACCATCTTCCTGCTCGACGTCATGCTTCCTTCGCTTGGACCCTCTGGCGTCAGAAGAAGATGATTGGCAAATGCACTGATTGCACCCATCTTCCTCGAGGCGCTTCACCTTCTCTGTCAGGTCCTGAAGATACGCCACCGTCCGTACCAGTATCTCAAGTTTGAATTCCTTTTCTCCTGCCTTCACCTTTCCTTTGCCCTTCTTACGTTCGTCGTCTTCATCCTCATCACTGGCCTGTACAGCTTGATTGACTCGCTTGTATTCCGCAGGCACAAGCTCTCTTAAGGCGGCCAGAGCATCATTAATTTTGGTGCGTCTGGCTTTTTCAATGAGCGAGTGATTGATCTTCCGTTGAGCTTCACGTGCTGAGCGTGAAAGCGCCCCAGGTTTGCGACCGCGACGTTTGAGTTGTGGTGCTGGAGGGGAACCGTAAGCATCATCTTCAGCCTGGTCATCGCTGGAAATTGGGCTAGACAGTCGAGGATTGTCCGGAGGTATTGCGACAGCAGCGCCCGAGGCCGAACGCAAGCGCTTTGCCCTGCGTGGGGTGTTTTCAGCGTACATGTCCATCTCTGCTGGACCTTTGAGAGGTGCAATTGCAATGGGTCGGAAGAGATGCATATGACAGTTCATATTCTCATCCGCAAGGGCTTATGAACGACATGCGACACGTTTGTCAAGTGGTGATTGGCTGGGAGTGTGGACCCCGTAACGGATGGACAGCATCACAATGGCCTGTAATGCTCTTTATACAACGTGCCTATAATTACTGGCGGCCCTCTCGAAATCCCTCGCACGACTGGTTTTGAGCGATCTTATTGGTCCTTGGAAAAACGCACGTGTGCGAAAGGTTTAAGCGCCCACATCTTATGGACCTTCCACACAAGAGCATTTCCCAGCTCCCCAGTGGCTGGCTACGTGGAGGGAAATTCGCTGGTGGATCCACGAAATGCCGAGCATGCAATCCACGTACATTACCCATTTGCAGTGAATTTCTCCCGCGTCACGGATACTCCTTCAGGGGTTTATGTCATTCAATATGTTATGGTACGTGAAATGATGAAAGACTCGAAGGAAAAAGTCGTCCAGCTTTCTGGAGAGAACCTACAGACCCTCACAGATGCCAGCTATGGCTCATGCCGTTCTATCACGAGAGATCACAAGATACGACATCCAGAAAGATGGCGCACGAGCATGATGTCAGATGACCATCACGTATGAGCTTGCATATATGAATATTCACGATTGAATAACCCTTGAAGCTTTCTCAGGTAGCATCTTCTTCAAATAATTCAATTTCATGGACAGGATCGCCGGAAACTAAACTTGCTTCAGAACCCATCGTGTTGCTCAAACAACTCGACTACGAGCTTGGGCAAGCGCAGCTGGACTGGTACTACTCAAGACAATGACACTCGAGGGTAAGCTGAAGCCTCGTTGTTATGACTAATTATCATCATCCGCAGCTCTCCTTTGACAGCAAACGTGACATTGACAACTGGACCCCTCAGTGTCATGGCCTATCCTTCTTTCGGAGGAAGAAAAGGGCCGCGTGTCACTGACGTCCGGCCTCAAACTCACATCCTCGTCGACGTCTGTAGTGTTAGCCTACCGGCAGATGGTGACTGTGTTCCGCTCCGTGATGCAAACATGGTTCTTGCCGTTGTTTAGGTGTGGAGACGGAGGGGCAAGATCAGGAGACACTGGCGTTACCTGGACGCACAGATGAGCTGTTTGAGAAGGCAAGCCCCAGCACTGATGCTTTGACCCAATTTCTGAGTTCGATTGGTTACTGAAACCTCTCAAAAGCATTTCATGAACCTGTGAGACGCCGTTCAAAAGTTAACTTAGGTAGGCACAGGTACTACTGCCTTCTCACCTTCATTCTTCTGCTAATGATTCCCGTCCGTGGCGTTGCATTACATGATGTATACTGGCAGGATACATCCACCCGTCGCGAATGCATGACTCATTGATGTATCATCGTGTTCAGCTTCGCAACCTCGACCCAACCATATCACTGAAAGCATGCGTGTTGTTTGGTGCGTTAGGTCGTTGAACAATTCTTTGTTAAGAGTCTTGATATTACACATAGCGAAAAAAAACTCTAATCAATACACCCATCCGTCATCATCGCTCTCAGCTTCGCAACCTCGACCCGGGGAATGACATCGATTTCAAATGGCGCTGCATGAGGAACGACCGCGTCATTGAAAGCGTGCGTGTTGATGGGTGCATCAGGCCGTTGAACAATGCGGAAAGACCACAAAAGAAGTGCGAGGGTAATGTACAACGATTGATTCCCGACATACATGCCGGGACATGCACTTTTAATGATAAGTGAACTTCGTTGATCAGTCTGAAAATCGACGTCGGAACGACTTACCGTCTACCAAAGCCAAATGCGATGAATTTCGTATTGTCGTCAATAAGGCGGCCTTCTGAATCAAGCCAGCGCTGAGGATTAAATGTTTCGGGATCTGGGAAGACAGTAGGATCGCGAGAAAGAGTCCTGAAAACACGTGCTTAACGAAACAATGTATATCGTGAAGCAACGCCATACCAATGGCAGCCGTAGACTGTTGCACCCTTGGGAATGCAGTATCCTCGCTGATTGCACGCAGGCTAGAATGAGAACGCGGGTTACAACAAATTAAGACACTGACCCACAAAATATCCTTGGTTGCACAGTGGGGAAATCCTGAGCACATATCAGCATCGTTCAGAGCGTGCCAAAATTCGAATTTACCTATGCGGACGACAGGTCTCCACCTCAAAGTTTCCAACAAGAATGCGTGCAATTGAGGGAGGGAGCTCGAGTCATTGAAGGTCGGCGCTATATGAGAGATTGATTGAAAAATCAAAATATTTGTATCCCTTTGATTTGGTATTACCTCTGTCTGACCCGATCACTTTGTCTAGCTCTTCATGCACCTTTGCCTGAGCCAGTGGATGGCATGCTGCAGCCATAACAGTAGCGGTAATTCCAACAGCGGTCTGAACAGAAAGTAAGCTCGCGAAGATAAATAAGTTGCATGGCTTACTGTATCAGATCCCGCCCCAAAGAGTGATCCAGCGAGATACGACATCTCATCTATAGAGAGTTTGTGTTGTTCGGTGTTTTCCAATAGTGTCTTGGTGAAAGAGGGGCCAGCTTCATTCCGATCCTGCGTACAACAAGATGTAAGTGACATACATTTACCAAAACAAAGAGCCCTTCACCACTTCACTCTTGACACGCCTCAATTGATGCCTAAATAGCTCAAGCTCTTCATGATGCCACTTATCAAGTTGTTTGCCGTAACCAGGCAAGTGTCGCAAAAAGGGCACACGATCGACCAGATAAGCTCCTGGGAGAATCGTGGCAAGAAAGCGCTCAACAACTTTGTGGATACGGACAACTTCGGGATCGGTGTTGGCAGTGGGAGTAGACTTCCCATAAGTCACCTGAAGAATGACTGATGCTGCATACCTTAAGATACCATATCTATGAAAAAAATCACAAAAGACCTTGGGAGTGACGTACCGCTTTGCATGCTTCTGATGGTTCGTCGGGTCATTCAGCACATCCAATATAAAGTTCATCGCGTTCTCGCGCTGCATATCTTGGTATTCTTGTGCCGCCTTTGGTTGTAAATGAGGGTGTACTGCTTTTCGGAGGCGCCGGAAGCGTTCTCCGGAACGAGCTAGGGTGATACGCATTCCATGTGAGAGCATCTCACTCCCTGCAACGGACCGAGGTCGGTCTCCCACTGATCCACCTTCTTTCTCCATGATGTCTACAACTGCCTGGTAAATAGGTTATTGTCGGATGAAGCTCAAAGTATGGGCATATAATCAGATTACCTCCACGCCACCGATGACGATGATGACTTGGCTACCTTGTCGGAACGACACAACCGGCCCATACTCTCGGACCAAGTTGGTCAGGGCATAGGCAATGCTGAGTAGACGATCTACGTCAATCTACAATATTTGTATAACACTGCCAAAACTCACTTTACAGTAGGCAAAGCATTATTCCAGAACCAACGGGCGGGAGGCCCAGGTGGAAGCGGGATGCCCTTCCTTGCTAACGAGAATTTCTTGTATAAAACGACGAGTGCCACTACAACTGCGACGATGCCAGCGGCACAGTTGGCACTCTTAGTGAGAGCGTTCAGCATCCAAACCATGTGGTGTGGGCTGGAATAAGACAGGCGTGCAACTCCGATATCTTAATCGACATAGATTGTGTCCAACATCTTATAGTACCTCGTCCTCTGTCTGTTATTTGACAAATGCACCACTGCGGTGACAGCGCGGTGGGAGTGGGTCACTCCAAGAGGCGAATCAGAGTCTGATAGAATCGCCGATCATTCTTCGACCTGGCGGCTGATTGTTCGAGGATAAATACGGTCCGGTGACCTTCAAAATGGTTAGACTGAAGGCACGCCCAGCCTACAACACAAGGATCTCGATGATGCACTCACTATTTCAACTTTCTCTGGAACAAAGATTAACCAGCTTAAGTATGATCTGGTTATCGGTCTTGAACATCACCATGCACTCCCACCTGGTGTCGCCACGTATTGAAGGCCACTCAGTCAGGGGTAAACATGAAGAAGAGGAGCCTGGAGTCCGCTTGATCATTACAAGCGATGCATTCTTCGGAAAATTGGGTTAAGCGCGGAGTAACCTTCAGCCGTGGAGAATTTCTGAGATTGTCACTGCTTCTACCAACAACCGTCAATACATCCCCTGCTTGACCTAAGTAAAAAGACTCGTTGGGTCACAAAACAACGGGACACGCAATCACGATCACGTGATCTCTTGCAGAGTAGATGAGGTTTGTGAACTTCAACAGCAACTGATCAGGAGCAAGATATAGGGCTAAATGCAAATCATCAATGCTATATAAAATATTGCTGAGGGAGCGTTTATGGATGTGTCAGCTGCATATATAGATTGTAAAGTCCGTGACTCGCCGAGTGTGAGGGTTGAGCGAAAAAAACATGGTGGAAATACTGGAACCGGTGTGAGACGACGGATATATGAAATGTAGTAGTGGCGCATACCCAGGCTGGGAGGAACTGGAGGTTTCAGGAAGTTCTGGTTGCAAATTCTGTGGTTGGTTCGAACTTGAAGCTGCCGACGCTGTGGCGGCACTTGTTCGTCTTCAAGAAGTCCTTGCGAACCTTGAGTGACTGACACAGTCGAGATTTCTTACAAGATTCGTGCAGTCAGTACTTTCAATCATTGTCCCATCTCTGGGCAGCGAAAAAGCGCCGGCGATAGCGATGGGGTCATCCTTGCGCTTGTAGGATGACAGCGAGCTGTCGAATACCTTGGTTTTGGTGTCTTCCTCAATGCGTGAAAGCCGAATCCAAGAACTGGCTAATCCTTGACAACTTCCTCTTCAGATGATGGAGGAGCTGCTGTGACTTCAAGTTGGAAAGATTCCTGCAAGACACATGAATGCCGTTGCTCCGGTCAGCGACCTATACAATAAGATGATTTAGCAGGAACTCGAAAATACATAAACATGCCTTGCGTACCCTTGCAGCTACTGGAATATTCTTGCAAGTGCCACGTGCTACATCCACGAGCGCAGCATACTAATGGTTGGGGTAGGTAGATGCCAACAGCCTCTTGCCTCGGCGACATTCCATGAGCCCATCTCAGTGCTCACCAAGTTGCTCATGGACGAACTTCACGCTGTTAAATTTAATGTCCGACATCGGCAGCCATGACAAGCACCCTGATCTTCACTGGCACTGTTTCTCAACGGATATGCCAGTATAGTGAACAGTAAAAAATATAGCGTAACCTAGTAAATATCAACGAGTCAATAACAAATCGTGCAACTGCAAATGATACATGCATCCGTCATCATCCGAGTCGCTATCAGCTTCGCAACCTCGTATCACTATATGAAAGCATACGTGGTATGTATCGGTGCATCAGATTGTTGAATGGGCCTTAATATTACACGTAGCAAACGAACCCTGATCTATACACCCATCTGTCATTGTCGCTCTCAGCTTGACCCAGGGAATGACATCGATTTCAAATCATTGGTCCTGCATGGGGAGCGACCGTGTCACTGAAAGCGTGCGTGTTGATCGGTGCTTCGGGTCGTGTGACTCGTTGAACAATGCGGAAAGACCACAAGCTTAGAACTTAGAAGTGCGAGGTGCAGGCCGGTCCGTCATGGTGATCACTTGAGCCTAAAAGTACAGTATAAAAGGATGAATCGATCGTTACTGACTCCGATTCTAGAATTTACGTAATACACAGGTCTTTCCTATACTCATGAGTTTACAGTCGGCCTTGGAACGATTAGCTACGTACCGTGCCAACAACACGCGCGCTTCGCAAGATATATTCCGAAATGGACTTCTAGTGCTTCAGAAAAGCGGTTTCAAAAAGTTGGGAGACGACGGCAAGCCATTCCGTAGTCGTCCACGCCTGTTATTTGAACTCAAGTCATTCTGGTGTTCCTGCAGCCTGGACATCCCTAGAACAATTGGTATTAGCCTCAATAGATGTCGGACGACTCGATATAGCAGATGTGTGTCCTTTTCTGCTGTTCTAAGTACTTACCTCACCCTAAGCTCAACCCCATTTCTATATAGCAATGCCTCCAGCTCATTGCCGACAATTTCCCCAACTCCCCACGCGTCGACTGTCTCATAGGTATCCGAATGGAAGCTACAGAGCCTCCAGAAACAGCCCTTAAATACTACGCCGACATACTTGAAGCTGACTCCGCCAATGTCGTGCGTGCTTTCATATACGTGTCTTTCGTGTGCTTACTCTCACTATAGGCAATCTGGAAGCGACGAATATCAGTCCTGAGGAGAACAGGAAAGGTAGAAAAGGCCCTGAATGAACTCGTGCAATTTGTGGACACTTTCTATACGGACGTTGAAGGGTGGCTAGAACTCGCAGACATCTATGCGTCGTGTAACCAGTGCGTCTTCATTCTATAATACCATCACACGTCCTATTCATTTTGTTCGCTCGTACAGATATGATCACTCCTTCCAGGCGCTCTCACATGTTCTGCTCCTAACGCCCCAGAACCCCTTCTACGTCCTTCAAGCCGCTGAAACAGCCTACACCTCCGAAGACTTTTCTCTCGCTATCAAGATGTTCCTCACCGTCGTAGACATGACCGATGCTGATGATTCAGAACAGCTTTTGCAAGAATCCACACCTCTCGGAATCACTGTGCGAGCGTGGTTCGGTGTGAAACTTGTGCGTTTTTTTCTCCCGCAAGGGCTGCTTGCTCAATTGAACATCGATGTAATTCTTTAAAAAAACAGTGTGCTCGTCGGATAGCACAGAATGCGAACCTGAAGTCCTCATCGAATACCAGTGCGCCGAAGAACCTGGAGTTACTAGATGAACTGGCCGCGGAGCGTCTCCGAGTTGCATATTCAAGTTCGGGTCAGAAGGGTGAGATCGCGAAAGGGAGACAAGAAGTCTTCGCTTGGGTCGCGACTCCCCTTGCGTAGGCATGCAGTTGATTTCCTTTCTCTTCTTGAGCTACGTCCAGTCCTGTCTTGTTGGCATTTATGATGTTCACTCAGACATGATCAAGGGAAGAGATAGTCATCAATGTACTAGACAAATGCCCGAGGTAAATACTATGACAAGACTGAAGTTTCGGGCGAGCACGCGTAGCGCCTGACCTGAGACAGAGGGATAAGCTGCACACAGGGATGGTGAGTTGCCTCGCTGCGACTGCACTGTAAGTGTCCTCTTGTCTCTTCTGGTGTGAATTCGAGGAGAACGATGGCTTCTGAATTCAAAAGACCAACGAGGCACAAATTTCAGGACCATGGGAAGGCTGTTCGAGATTTCGTCTTCTAGTACGACAATGTCCAAATTGTGTACAGGGTTTCTTGTCGGGAAAGTGTGGAACTTCGAGGGTAGTAGAGAATACGGAATTGTATCAGGCAGAGTGAACATCACGATTTGCATTCGAGAACCCGGGCCTGGGGTGGTGTCAGACAATGGCAGGACAACTGTGATACTATTACATAGTACATAATACACACACCAAAACAAAACACAGGTAGGTACTACTATGTACTACTAGTCAAGGATGATAGGCACCGAACTCTGATTTAAGATAGCACCAATAGGTTGCCAGGCGCGTACCGTACCAATCTTCCTAAAGGTCTTTGGGCCCACTTTATTCACCACAATCCAGCGACGAACCGTCAGAGCTGGTTCCGAGGTGACATCCACGATCCAACAATCTCCCATTTTTGGAGGGCTGCTACAATGAATCCATGCCAAGACGACGAATGGCGTCCTGTGGCCTTCAATTTGGAAGCATAGAATCCTCTTATTCCACCCCATGATCTCATCACCATAGGTCAACTTTCGCCCAAAGTTCATCTCCCCCATGAGTTTCGAATAGCAGTGGTGCAAGGAATTCGCATGAAGTGCGGCAAAAAGTGCTTCTTGAGAACCTTGAATCTCATTCGATGCGACCATGTCTGATGTCGCCAGGCCATGCTGGAGTTGTTGTATAATCGGATCTGTGTTGCAACCATTGGCCGTCAGAAACCAGGTACATAAGATGATCTTGTTCATCTCTCCTCCCCCGTCCCCAATGTTGATACTCATCCCCATTACGCATCCTACAAACCGAACCGCAATGTGTAATCCATCGTCAGCTATCTTCATATCCTTCTGGTTGTGGTGGTGTATAGTTTCCGGGTAGAGCCCTGCGAGAGCAGCCCCGGGAAACCGTTCGTTCCAAAGATTAGGGGCTGTGATATGGGGCATCCAATGTCTTCCATCTGCTGCATCGGGCTCTGGAGAGTCGTGTAGCAATGGCCACACTCTTCCTGACATTATGGCTTTTGCCATCGTGCGTTCCCACATAGATTCAAGCGCTGCAGTGCTCGAATTGCGGTGAGAGGCTTCAGATGGATTAATTGGCACTTTCTCCTCATCGCTGAGCAACCCATAGAGCCCCAACAGGCGGTCCACGGGGTACATAGATTGTCTGTGACTGATTTGCCAGATGAGGCTAATCAGGTTCACATGTCCGTTCTGCTCGAGTTCCTCCTTCATCTGGAAACGCAGGTTCCGGGTTTGCCAATTGCGTGGGGCAGAAATGACCAATTCCTTGCCTGGATGAATGAAGTTGTAATCGGTTCCACCTTGTGGTTTTTTCAGAGAGCCGTTCCGCAATATCTTGTGGTACCAGTCCAGTAAGCGTCGTAATAGATCGACGCGCAGTTCTTGTCCATCAGGGAGGATATGTTTGTTTGGCAACAAAAACTCCTGGTACGTCCACACTCTCCAGAACCACTCATCTCCGATGACAGCATCAAGCACTGCGATACTTTCCCAGATCCTCAGTGCATTATCTTGCACGGAGGCATTGGCATCCATGATATTGCATGAGAGGTCCACAAGTTGTGCGTGTGCCAACGGGAAATTCAAGTAGTCGCTGGGCACCACGAGGCAGGCTGTTGCGCCGCGATAGTAGTGGTTCATTTTTGGAATCTCGACAGCCTTTTCTTCGTCTGCCTCCGGGCTGTTGCTTTGGTTGATGCAGATGGCGTCCATCCACATCCATTTGACTCTTTTATCTGCCTTGCAGTATGCCAGGATCGTGTCCCACTTTGCGAGATCTGAAATAGCGACGGGCCATTCGACAGTGGGCAAGATCATCTGGTGTTTAATTTCTCCCCACACTTGCGAAACCACAAGGTAAGGTGGAATGGTATGGCCTGTCTCCCGAAGGTATGTCTGTTGATCCTTCAAAACCTCATTCTCGCAGTCATAGAGTCGTAGTGGGGCTTTCACAAGGCTGTGATGAGCGGATGCACAGCATTAATTCGACAACAAATCCAGTATGATCCAGCTCTCACATATTTTCCCTCAGGTCATGTTCCTCGCTTTTCATTTCGACATTCGAGCCTCCAAGTCCTGCATCATCCGCTGACTTTAGTCCGGCTGCTGCCTCAGGGCCTGCTCCAGGCTGAGATCCGCTACCTGTGTAGTGGAATGCCTCCAGGTCCAACTGACTGTCACTTTCAGTGACCAAGACAGGTTGAAAGGTCTGCGGGGCCTCCCGGAATGTGAGTAGGCCAAGACTTCCTTCCTGCAGGTTGATTAGTGCCCATGAGCCGAACTTATGAACACCCTCTGCTCTAGACTCGGACTCTGGATCCATTGAGATAAGTGAAGTGTGGTTAGCCTAGTCTGCATGTCAAAGAAATCCGGGAGTATGAAATTCTAACCCATACCAGAATGCAGCTGCGCGTTTGGGAGTTGAGGAGCAGGCACAATCAGGGCTCCGTAACTCGGAAAAACACCCTACGGAGTTAATGACGAGTTTTCAACTCACCCCCACCCTCGAGGGGTTTTTGACACCAGGGTCCAGTTTGTAACTAGTTTTTGACATACTCAAAAATATGTTTTTCCTGGTCATTTTGACATTTTTTCGCTACGGGAGCGTAAAGTTCCACTGTACAACACCCTACAAAGGTATTGGAACTGGTATCCTGTTATTGAGGCGCCCTGTTCACCTCTTCCTTCAGCTTCTCTGATAGCAAGTGAAACCTGACTATTGATTTTGAGGCTTTTTGGTCTATGTGGGAGAAGGTGATAAAAAAGGCAGGACGGGACAAACATGTCAATGTGACCTCAAGTGCATCATTCCGCTACTTAGGCCTTAGGTACTGCCATGGCATGATGGAGCTCAACCCTATCTGGAAGTTGTGCGAGGTTCGGAGGTGACTCAATTGTGTGTCATTGCGGGGCCCCGACGCTGTCATCAAGTTTGCAATTATCGAGCCGAGTGAAATGTTCATTATACTTCTCAATTTGCCAGTTTGTCGGTCATATCTTAACTATAGTCTATTGTTCAGGATTTTCAGATGTTCCGATGCTTATATCTCAGCGAGTTGATAGACTATGTTCCTGGGATCAAATACTGATATATTAGTTGACGGTTGATGCATCGTTGATGCTTGTTTATATATGGCTCCTCCTGTGCCTCGGCCTCGGAATGCATCCGTTTCGAAGGACGAGAGTGAGAGTGCACAATACCTAACGCCAATGCTACAAATACTATTTATAAGTGACTATCAAACCCCGATAACCAGCATCATCAAACCGTTCAGCTATCGACGCCTTGCCATCATATTGCAATTGCTCCAGGTAAGAGAGTCATCTCTTTGCGCCAGTATCATGCGCATCTCTCATTCCCAGTTGGAAGGCAATGAAAGCGCGTGCATATATGCCTGTCGCATCCTCCAATTCATGCATGGTCTCCACAGACTCCTTGTGGTTGGAGGAGACGTCATCGAGGTAGTATGGAGTGCAATCCTGTTGGTAGAAGCGAATGTCCTCAGGAGCGAGGAATTCCGGGATGGTCCATCCTCAGGTGTTCCAAGCACTCTTAGCCAGTGTGCCAGGTTTGGACGAAGACCGAACATCTGAGAGGTAGACTGTGAGTGCTGAATGGTGATACCAGGTTGAGGGATTTTTGGGACTCGACATTGTTATTTTGGTCGATGCAACACGTGTCAACCCAGGGCAAGCGAAACCCCGCTTGATGAGCTACTTTTCAGAATGACTGCAACTTCATAAGACCGATTGCATTCAACTTGTACACGATCTTGTCTTGGATATCACGCAACAGGCTGCAGCTGCTCATTCCTACCCCATCAATAGAATGACATGACATGCAGAAGTACGTCGTCACCGTGTCTGCGATGGGCTTTGTGTTGAGTACGAGTATCTGTGGCACGTTGTAGTCCGCGAGAGATACAGTTGGGGGCTAGTAGCTTGAAACACAAGGGAATGATTGTATCAACCGAGAGGCTCGCGGTGGGGACGAATGTCATGATGGGCAGATGAGAAAATGCGTGTGGTTCAACTGCACTGACTCTGAATACACGTGGCACACGTTTTATAGACTTGCAATTACACAAACAATTGATGCATATATGCATGGTTATGCAAAGTTTGTCAAACAATCTACTCCCGTTGTATGACAGCTAATAGTCCAAGGCCTCCAAGAAGCGCATATTTAAGTTGCGGGAAATCATTCTGCGTGGCATGATCAGCGTTATTGGGCATGAACGAAAGATGCACGAAAAACAGGCTACTAAGTGGCACGCGTATATTCAACTAGGACGGTGAAAGAGGCTTACCATGGCAATCGTCACGTAGCCAATGTACGGAAGAAACCTGGGGATAAGGTGTGAGTGAATTGGAGGTGTAGTTAGAATATTGAGCAGTAAAAGAGACGTGTCATACTGCACAAGCTTTGCCTTCAAACCGGATGAGAATAAGGCGAAAAACACATACCCGCGAACTTTGCCAATGATATGTCTTCGGTCGAGCCATTCAAGGCCCTGGTAAAGGTCAATGTCATCAACATGATTGTTGTCGCCTTTCGTGAGCATCAGTTGATGTTCCCCCGGTGGGAGTTTGAGCTTTGCTAGTCTGGGGTATGGTTGTAATTAGTCATCGAATGTCTTTGACTTGCTAACCCCTGCAACGAACCGCATACGGCACACTGGAGACACTCACCTGTTGTTGACGATGCGGTTCTCCGTAGAATTGTCAAATGGGATGAAGACGTCCCGGGTCTCCAGGACGCGGTGCACGATGGGTATTTCGGCGCCAGGGATCCTATATACTGTGATATCGCCTGTATGGTAGCGTTGGCCTGGGGGGTTGGTAAGGAAAAGAAGGTCGCCACGGTAAAACGCTGGTTCCATAGAGCCACTGTAGATATAGGATAATCAATACACAGGATCCAGTTTAGGGTGGGGAGAAATGGAGGTTTCAAGTTAAATGCCTGATCGAGCGAGGATCGTACACACCTGAGGACAACGACAATTGGAGATTCTGTGTTCAGGATCAGGCCGAGACCTTTCCATAGCATGAGGCCAGATGCAATGACGGAGGCAAAGTTGAGAATTTGGAGCAGAAACTGAAGGAACAGAGGACGATAGAAGCATATGGGGTCACGTCAAGGACACGTCGACACAAATGAAACAAAAGAAAAGTCAGTATTCTGCAGAGTGATTAAAAGTGCTGGGACGCACATGTCGGAATCCTAGTCGACGGAACGTCTTGAGCTCATCTGAGAACATCACTACTGCACGAATAGGAAAATCGGAGAAGACGACTCGACAAGTTGTAAAGTCATAACTTCAAAATGGAAATTTGTGGCTGTGCATTCTGTATCGGTAGTATTATAGTAGTATACTAGTACTGATGAATATCGATGAATCCCCACTGTCGTCCTCTCTCCCGGGCTTCCATCGAACAACCTATGTAAAATAAAAGGAAATTTATTTCAGTGGATCCCAACTGTAAGTCCTGCTAGTCTCGTTTCGGGCGTTTTAATGGGGCGGATCCATTTGGATTATCGCTGTTAATTCGAGGCTCATCTAACACCCGTTTTGCAGATATGCCAGCATCTGAAACGGTGGCGTTGTAGGTTGGTGATAAGGGTGGGACAAGAGGAAGAATGGAAGGGGACGGCCGTATCCACGTGTTGGAGGTGGTAGCAGCAAGTGGTGAAGTTTCCTTTGTCGACGTTCCGGAGTCAGGAACTATGACAGGCAGTGTTTTATTCGGCTGTAAATTGACGAGTTCAGTTGATTGTGAGTAAAACACGAATGTCAGTGCTTGTGAAGTTCGGTGAGGCCAAAATACATGCACCTTTGCGAGTGTCTGCACAGTAGATAAAACAATGAGGCAAGACTGTAGACCCTTCAAACACCACTGCCTTTCGAGCCAGGAGAGGAGATGACGATTCCAGAAAGCCTTGTATATATGGCTGATCTTTTCATCCAATGGATTCGGAGCGCGGGAGAGATGAAGGGCCCAGTTTTGACATGCATATTTGAGAGCTTCCGAAACTGATTGACTTCGTTCCTGTGCTTCGTTTGCGAAAGTCATAAAGGCATTCATAGCATGAATGATCTTTCTGTCTGGTGAAAAACGAGATTCTGGTAATGCAGAGTTGGAATGATTCTGATGTCTTAACGAGAGGAACACCGGAAATATCAAGACATCCGGCAAGGTTCTGAACTGCTGGATTGCTTGGAAAGCTAGCAGTGGTGAAGATTCTGGAACAAATTTATGCTCGCTGATTGTTTTCAATGTGTTCGAGAATTCTTCCATTGTCACCCAGACAGAGGCCGCAGGAGTCGCCTGCCAGGTTTCACCATCAGGAGTCTCCAACCAGTCTCGCCCGCCCTGGGTCTGCAACCAGTTTCTTCCGCCCTTAGTCTGTAGCCAGCCTCGTCCATCCGAGGCACGCATACAACATTGCAGCCAGTTTCGGCCATGCTTGGTCTCCAGCCAGTCCCACCCGTGCTTGGTCTCCAACCAGTCTTGCCCGTCTTGGGTCTCCAACCAGTTTTGGGCACCAGGGGTTTTCAGCCAGCCCCTCCCACCTAACGTCTGCAGCCAACATCTCCCGCCTTGCGTCCGTAGCCACGAGTTTCCTCCGATCGTTCCCAACCAGTCCTTCCCACCTTGAATGCGCAGCCACTTTCGACCGCTGAAACTCTGCAACCAGATTTCCCCCTCTTGGGTTAGCAACCAGGCCAGTCCACCATGGGTCTTCAGCCAATCCATCCGCTTCGTGTCATTTTGCGGGTTCCACTTCGAGATTAACTGCTGAGTCGGCGCATAAATTTTGTGCATGCCCGTAATCTGCACCTTGCCTCCGATCTCCGGCAAGCTGTCACCATGATGGAACACCCAGTCTACTCCTATATGCGACGGACGGTCACCTTTCCGCACCTCGTTTCCCCTTTCCTGACTTTTCAGCCAGTCTTTCCCGCCCTGACTCTCTAGCCAAGCTGTTCCCAACACGGTTTTCAACCATTCCTTCCCCAACTGACTTTGCAGCGAAGCCTTGCCCTGCTGAGTTCGCAACCAATCGTTCCCACCCTTGGTCAGCAGCCAAATGCTTCCACCTAAGGACCACAACCAGCGTATCCCAGCCCAGATCTGCAGCCAGTCCTTTCCCCCTTGAGTCTGCAGCCAGTCCTGCCCCTCCTGTGTCTGTAGCCAGTTCTCCCCACCCATGGCACACAGCCAAGTTGTCCCTCTCGGAGTTTGCAGCCAGGCACGCCCATCCTGTGTCCCTAGCCAGAATTCTAAATCTGGACTACGGTCCCCTCGAAACCATAGCAGAGCAACGAGAACTGACAGTGGTTCTGGCGGCTGGACGAGGAAGGATAAAGATTCTTTTAATCTTTGGGGATCTTGAGACTTCATAGTTCGGCTGTGCTTCTTTAAGTCTGAGAGCATATCCAAGAGGGCTGAGCGTTCTGGAATCTCTTTCATCATCAAGCGGAAAGAGGAGTAAGCGAGTATGGAGTGGGGTGAGAGGATGTTGTGTACTTGAGAAAGGTTACAGTTGGAGGGGTCGGAAACATAGTCACGAACGGACGAGTGATAGATATTCACGGGGAGACTGCCGTCTGTAGGGATATCCATGATGGAGCGTAGTTGCACCAGTGCTGTCTCGACGTCCCTGCCTAGGCCAGGGCCAAGAAGTTTTGAGAGTTGTGAAATTGGTAGAGGATCTGCGAGGGCAGCGACGATGGACAAGTGTTGGTATGCCCGCTTAGGGTCGGCGCATGTGGACAGGATACGGTCATACAACTCGTACACCTCCGTTCCTGGTAGCAATTCACTCGCCAGATCCAGCATGACTTGAAGCCGATCGCGGGGATCACTGTCTCCATCATCAATAAACTTCATCATCGTAGACGCCACAATGAAACGTCTGCCCGCTCGGCTGGCCAGCCGCTCAAGCTCATCCCTTGATGGCTGGGGGAAATCAGGATGGCGACTTTGTAGCTCCGTGAAGGAATGATGCAAGAAAATATAGATGTCCTTGTCAACATCTGCACCATCTAACGAGATAGTGGCAGCGACGCCCTCCCCAGAAGTTTTCACAGGTATCTCGCACACCAGCGGGTACACCTCGGCATTCTGAAAGGCTTTACAAATATGCGATTCCGAACGACTCGTAAGCAGAATGTGGACAACAGGGAGATGAGGTTCACGAAGAGCCCGTGCAAGGTAAAGAATGAGATCAGCAAGCTCGGTTTCAGACGTGCATTCATCAAGAGCGTCGACAACAAATGCCAAAGGCGGACACCCACGCAGTCTCAATTGAAGCCTTCGGAGAGGTTGGATGAATAATGCCTCCAACTGGTCGCGAAGAGATTTGTCAGGGTCTAGAAGAGCAGGATTGTCCCTGATAGTTCTGTTGACATCATTCCGGACGCTGGCGAAATTGCTGGCAAGCTGGTAGACAAGTGTCACAAAGAAATAGCCAGTGGTGCAGCGTTTCGTGTGTTTTCGTGAAAAAAAGAATGTTCCCGCGAGCCGCTTTTCGACATGCGTTTCCTCTGTCACTTTTAAATCTCTCATCGTTTCGGCCACAGTGAAAGCAACAGCGGACTTTCCGACGCCTGCTGTGCCATGCAGCCAAATGAGTCGACTCTTCTCTTGGTCATCTAGTAATCTGCGGATGTAGTTGAGAAGGTCCACTCGGGTCCCTTGTAAACATTTTGGGTGGGGCCGACGTTCGCGCGAGTCATATTCAGCACCCTTGACGGCGACCTGGGACAGCTTCTCCCAAGTTCCTTCAAACGATCCTGAAACTGTTGAAGAGATCAGAAATAACGGAGGAGATCAGGGATGGAAATACCAACAGTGATCTTGACTCATTAATGATGACTCGCGTGAGTCGTGTCAAAGTTGTGGAAGGATGGATATGATCTATTCCGGTGTATATCAGTGCCAGTGAGGCTGAGGAAACACCGACTCGTCTGTAGGTTGCGGTATGTCATGGCTGTACATGCTGTGCAGCGCGCCCGAGTCCAGAGTGCCGGCCCGCCGTTGTGAGAGATTATGTAACATTAGTTCCGGCGGCAATTCTAGTCAAAAATCGTTCATTCATGCACATTACTATTGCGCCAACCTTATACTTAATCTACATATTGTTGTTATGCCAGAGACAAGCTCTCGAAAAATCAAGCTTCAAGGCGAGGCAGCAAAAACAGCTACAAAGTTCGCACGATTGTGTATGATCACATTCCCACTTACTACGTGCGTGCGATTTATTCGCTAGCGAACGGTTGAAGCTAGCACTGCTTCTTAGCGGTCAATTTAGCACTATCAGGTGTGTGGTTGTATTCCAACTGGATTAAGGGCATGTTACGCAACTCCATTCCACAGCTATAGCTTTCTGGTTTGATTACACCATACCCAAAGGCCGAAACATCATTGCGAGATTGTTCCGTAACGGTACCACTCTTGATCAGAATACAGAGTTGGTACTTTGCAATTCATTGTGGCCGTGTTCTAGGCTTTGTTGTAGGTGCTGTCCGAGCTAGTCGCTACTACTGATGTATGTTTAGATCATCTGTCTGCTGATTTTCGACAGCAGAGACCAGACGCCTTCGCTGCTTTGTAGGCTTTGCAGTAGATTAATCTTTCTGATGGTGACACTGGTCACTGTGTAACGAAAGTTCAAAATAATATCTTCGGCGCGTTTTGAGTATTCCAGAGTGCCATGATGTTACGAGGCAAGTTCAATTTAGTACTTGTTTATCCTATCATGATGGTCTGGACTCCGAATTTTCAGTCCTTCTATCCTCACCGAGCCCCAGGGGCTCGTGTGTTTGATTGCTTTATTGCAAGAATAGAGAAATGTATCCAGTCTTGAGAAGAGATTTGCACATTCATACGATTAACAAGCTGTTTCTGTCGGATGTTGTCTGGGACAAATTTGCTTCTCGGTTATCATCATGTGAGTAGCCCAGTCTCTTATACTCATATATCTTGTCATTCAACGTCTTGTCAAGAAATGATAGGCGCGTGACGGTTGGCATATTACTATGGTGGCATTTATTGACATGAGCATACTTGTTTTAAGAGGTGCCGCCAGAGCCAAGATTTTTGCAAACAGCTGAGTTCTACTCGTTATGACGTATGGTGTAACTTTGATGCGCGTACCTATCAAAGACACTATATCGTGAGTGCGAACATGTTAGGAAAAAGTGAGAAGCATAACAAGGGTATTGGGGTATCACTGACCTCTGCGAACCGGGAGAGCCCGATCCTGAGGAAGGAAGAGAGCGTCACGAGACCTCGACCCCGCAGGCCTGAGCTTGTAATGTTCAGCATTTGCTCAGAGTGCTCTATCTGACATGGTCTAGAATTTGAAGCGACCGATTTGGATGCCGATATGATTGCCAGGGTCGAGTGCCGTCGAGCCTTGACTACGAATTAGGGGTGAGTCCAGTATGTGAGCTGACATGAGAAAGGCTGCCGTCAAGCTTTTAAATTTGGCCGGGATGTATACTTTGGAATTGACGGATGGGTGTGCGTAATACATGTCCGCAGGAAGGCACAAGGTACTTTCATGTATACATAGATGTCATAAGCATTAAAACCGTGGCGATAGGGATATGCAAGATTTTCGCTGCGAGTCTTCTTAATACTTTGCTTAGGTTGTTAACTTTATCGATTTCTGCACGACCTCCTTGCAAAATGAACAGGCTTTGAATGTGAGAAAAGGCTCCGGATTTTTGATGAGCTGGAAAATAAAATATGGACAGCGATACACCAAAATTAATTCTCGACTCTAATTAAACCTCGGATCATGAGAAGGATACATAGACGCTGAGTGCAAAGAAGGCTGCGAAGGTCGGTGGAAGGAGATGGCAACGTGGCCAGCATGGGTCTTATAGCTAGGTTACAAATCGTAAGTACTTTGTAGGCACCGAAGCGGAAATTATAGTTTGGATGTAAGTCGTCCGAACAGGGGTGTTTGTTTATCCCGTTTGAAGGTCTTACGGGGTCTCGGACCTGGAGCACCGCCGTAGTGGAGGTACTCTCGTCACCTTTACTATTTTCTTTAGCGCTTGTTCCTTGTGTCCTATCAAGTCAAACGACGACGACAACGACGAACGAACGATAGCGACGAACTCGTTTTACTGACTACTTAGATTCTACTCGGAGGTCTACTTATGATGGACCCGAGCAGTAGCGGTGAGCACCTTGCCCAAGCAATTGGCCCGTGAGTCCTTCTTCGTCTTCCCTTAAATCACCACTCTTCTTTTTTTCTTCTTTCTAATATCCTTACAGACAAGTTCGCTCTCGCGTGACCGTCGTCTGCGCAGAGGTTTGTGCAAAATTTCATTGCTGTACTAACTCGCTCACACGTCTAATAGTGCAAACGTCTCAAACTGAAATGTGATCGTCGAGCCCCATGCGGTTCTTGTACCAAGCGTGATACGGTCGCAAGATGTATATACTCCCCTGCTGCTGCTGAGAAAGTGTCCGTTCATACCTCCCTTCCTCTCTTGCCAAATTTGATTCCCCCATCCCAATAGTGACCTTCACTCCCTCAACAACAGACTCATAACAGTCGAATCGCAGCTCGCTCAAATATCAGCACCAGGTGTCCGTTTTCCTTCCTCTTCTTCATCGTCTACAACCATCCAATTACCTATCCACACCATCAACTCGTACAACCCACACGAGCCCTCCATAGACGATATTACAGCTATCTGGTGGGAAGAGATTGACATACCAGAGTCGCTACCAGTACAATCGTCTAGTTCCGACTCACGGGAGGGGTATATTAAATCTGAACCTGCATCTCATCCCACCCTGCCATTACCCTCTTCAAATCCCCCATCGTCTCTTCCTCTTCCCCTCCTGCTGCCTCCAATCTCCTGCTACTATGCCCCACATCCGTCCTCATCCTCTTCACCCATTTTCATGAAATCCCTACTCGCCCATCTCCCATTCGCCCCACGCCGCCGCACCCGCCTATATGAACATGCAGAGGAAGCCTTCAGGATGATCCCTGGACCCTGTTTTAGCTGGCGCGTCTGGAAAGAGCGCGCAGAAGGCATATGGAGATATGGGGAGTGTGAGAGCACATCATGTTCAACAAACGACTCCTCAGACGAGCCATCTCGTCCGAGTGCGTCGTCAACAAACCCGAACACCTCCTCTCGCACACCCACAGACACAAGTAAAACAGATACAGCCCGCACTATTTTTTTCGGTCCACTGCCTGCTCCTCCACCTTCGCCTCCGCCTTCGCATAAGGCTCTTTCCCAGACTTCAAGTAAAGCTCTTACTCCATCCCTTCCCTTGTTCGCATCCGTTTCGGGTGCTTTCGCATTGGCATTGTTGGTTGAAGAGAGCGCCGCTAGCGCTAGCGCTGCCCTGCAGAACTCCAGCTCCACTCATCTTGGACCTCCTTCTGAATCTGAAAGGGTCGCACACAACGATAGGATGGGTACCTCACTAGGGCCAAAGAAGTCAAGGAAAGATCCGTCACCGAAAGAAAACCTTACCTCTCCTGCGCTCCTTCATGCATTGTCTCGACAAGCAATATGCGTGTGGGAGGGTGGCGTAGCCTTGTCCAATTCGGGGTCGAATTCAAATAGTGCACATGCGAGCGAGTACGACTTGGATTATGTAGCTGCGATTGTGCTCGGCGTGCTGTTTGTAGTGCTTTGCGATAAAGGATGTACGACGGAGAGACATGGAAATGGAAGTGCTACGAGCAATACAAAGGAGGGATGGATTCTAGGAGAGGTGAGCGGTATATTCCCCTTGTTTCCAATCTTCTGCGATCTGCGGTGAATCGGAGCAGGCATGTGACTTCTTGATGGAAGTTGCGCACGGGGCCTTTCAACTTTACTTCTCTGCTCTGGAACCGGTCTCCACGATCCGTAGATCCTTCCCATCACATCGTGATCGTCGCGATCATTCCTTTTCTGGGTGTTGACTGTTCTTGGGCGACCGCTTCTATCGCGTTTCGACTCTAATGTTCATGTCTTTTAATTATTTCCTCTTCCTGTCCTATTTCTGCCTCGTTCTTGTCGCATTTGGCTTTACCGCCCCCACTGTATTTCCACAAGTTTTCCTGTACTTCAGCTCCGGCTGAATGCACAAAGAAATCTTAACTGACTCTTACTCTCACAGATCGGCAAACTTGTCAACATCGCACGTACTATGGGGCTCGGCGTCGACCCTGATCTCACACCTGGCAAGTATGGCCTGTATGAGAGCGAGGCGCGTCGGCGGGCATGGTGGGATATTTGGTGGTGGGATGCGTGAGTTACTGAATCGCATCATCTAAGTCACGTTAATTTAGTTTCTCCACAGATATACGTCCACTCTATCTTCACGTGCTCCGCTCATTCCTCTGCACGCGTTCAGCACCCGCCTGCCGCTTGATGTTGACGAGGAAGTGTTCACGTCCGCGTGTACGTCTGCACCCCTCCTAAGCCCGACGGGCAAAGAGGGCGTGGGAAGGTGGTTTGGGATGAGAGTAAGGTCAGTGATACCTAGCTGTCCCCTTTGCGTGCCACTGATTTTCTCTACCAATACAGACTCGCGCAGCTCGTAAAAGACATCAACTGCCGCACTTCCTTACTATCATCTCTCGAACAACCTTCAGCCCTGTTATCCCTCGAGCACGCATCCCAATGCGAAACCGAGATCAAGCAATGGCTATCAGATCTCCCACCCGCATTTCGGATGGGAAACGAAGGTATGGGCGAGGAATCATGCGTGCCTCCTCAGTCTATGGCGCTGTCATCCAACGCAAGCCATGGAGGCACACCACCGACGCTCCTTGCTCAGCGTCTCGACATATTGATGACGACGCATAGACTGGCTATGGGGTTGTACCTCCCGTCCTTACGTCCCCATTCGTCCCCGTCATCCCAATCTGACTCTCACTCTAATGCGAGACGTGAAACTAGCCCGCAGATTCATCAAGCACGCGTAGGCGCGCTCACAGCTGCACATGGAGTCATCAGAGCTGGGAGAGATTTTGTCGAGCTTGCGTGTACGCGGCCTGATTTGGTACGGAGGAAGGACGGGCTTGGATTAAGTCTTTGTTGCAGCCTCGTCTATGATGTTCATTCAGGTATACTATTTTTCGTTCCCTTCTTCACTTCAGTTTTCTGATCTCGTGATAGGATTTAGCCGGGGAGTTGAAATGGGATATTCGAAAGCGTTGTTTGACGCCTCTATTGTATGCGCTACCAGTGCTCTCCGTGACCCATCGGCTGTGTGGGCGCGCACGGCTGTGGAGGACGCTAAGATGGGACTTGTGCTGCTTCGGGACCTTCGGGATCTCTGTCCTGCGTTGGATGTGAGTGTTCTGGAGGCGCTCCTACGGAAACTCGATTCGGGTGGTTCAGGCGCTGGGAGTGGGTCAAAGAGGAAGAGAGAGGGGTGGGATGAAGGTGATGGACGGGATGCTGTTCCTGTACCTGGTGGTTCGGGTGCGGGTGGTAATGGCGAGGAAAATGTTCCTCTCATCCCCGTCCCTGTCGTTTCTACCCAGGAACCCAAGCTACGTTCACCATCTCACGTTGGTTCCAATTCCAATGCTGCCGAGAACACTTCGACCACGAATGATGCCAACAAGGAGGACAGTTCGGCCTCAGAACCAAGACGGACATACCCTGCGATTGTCATTCCATCCAAGTTTCCGCCTCGGAAGGATCGTGTAAAGGATCGAGATTTGCTCAAGGATGGTCAACGTGAACGAGAGCGGGGGGACAAAGACAAAGACAAAGACAAAGACCGCTCAAGGGAGAAAGACAAGGATCGTAAGAAGACCTCGTACCCGTCCGTTGGATTTCGCGTGCGTCCTGGAAAGGAGCCGTCTCCGCTTGCCAGGGTGCGGCCTGCAAGCGTTGGCACACCTACAACAACAACGACAACAACGACAACGACACAGGGAATATCTGGTCAGTCAATGCCGACATCCAGCCAGCCGATCTCCATGTCAGATCAGTCGATACCTGCGTCTAGTCAACCGATGCCAACGTCTAGTCAATCAATGTCTGCATCCCAGCACTCCGTGATGTCTCAGCCACCTTCCGTGGCTTCTCTCCAACCGTCTTCCCTCGTCTCAACGCCCATTGATCGGTCTTCCTATCATTCTACGCCTACTTCTATGTCACAAGAAGGCGGGGTTGATTTCTCGTTACCGTTTGGGGCTGCTTACGAGCCTCAGCCTCAGGTGTGTTTCTCATCCTTTTTTACATCCGCTCACCCGCTCAACGCAATTCTAGCCTGCCCAAAAATTTACACCTTATGACTATGCCAGCTCTTCCGCTTCACCGTTTTCATATCCGGACACCCCCCAATATGCGCAATTCGGCGGCCCTCCCTCCACACCGACATCATTTGCTCCTCCGTCCCAATTGCCCCATTACTCAGGAGCTGCTCCACAGCCGCAATCATCTTTTCCTACACAGTCTCAATTTCCTGCATCCCAAGCGTCCTACAGCGAGCACCCTCTTCCGTCTCAACAACAACAACAACAGCAACAGCCGGGTCGTTTCAGTTTTGGCCCGCAGTTCCCTGAAACAGGTCTTGTGAGAGAGTATTATGGATCGCAGGAGAAGCAGCCCGCTCAACGACAGGGATATCAACAGGAATATCCTGGGGAGCAGCAAGCGGTGTATGGCGTCAAATCGTCAATAGACCAGCACCTCGCGTCACAACAGGGGTACGCGGGGGGACAGCAAGGATATATGGAGCAGACGTGGACTGAGGGGAGCGAGGGTCAGTATTGGAGCTCATACCCTGCGCAACCTCAACTGCGTTATCAAGAGTGATCCGCCCTCCCCTCCCCTCCTCTTCACTGCTCTTTCCTCAGCTTCCGGTCCCAGTCTTCGCCCGTGTAACTAATACGCTCGTTATGCCCATTATGCCTTGATGTCGCTCCTTGCCAATGCTTTCCCTCGCCATCGCTATTGTACGTCTAGGTTACCCATCGTATCTTCTGTTTTTCGCTATCGTATCTTCCTGGAATTTGTCATTAGCTATATAGCTAACTTTATGAATGTCTCCCGTACAGCTCCTGTTTATTCCTTTTCTGCTTATCTTGTCTATTCGTTCTGTTCTCGTCCATTCATCTCTATCTCTATCTGTGTATATATCACACCACTCTGATTAATGGCTGGAATCACTGTTTTTTCCATTTCAGTGTATTTTTGTTTTTTTTCCGTGTATTTCTTCGAATTTACTGTCCATATACGAGTATCGTCAATATTTAAATCCATAGACTCACTTTTGTTTCTTCATTGTAGCCTCGGTGTTAATGCGAATGGTTCTCAATGCTTAGGTATGCTCGTTCGAATACTTCCGGTAGTCCTTTATAGAACATCTGATGTCGAAACGACTCATTTGCTATTTTTTGCGCTCCAGGGGGGGATCAGAGAGGAACATGCAACCCTTTGATGCGAGGTCACTCGCGCTTTTCATATATCGCACTCAGCGTTGCACCTTACATTCGATAGTACGGAAGCCAGCGTTTTGTTTATGTACACGATATACACTATCCTGTCTACAAGAATTCTAGGCCAACCCCCGGTGCAGCTAGCCTTTTTTGCGGCATAGGTGGAGGAGGTCGACAGTCTACCTTCTTCAAATTCTCTCATATCATGCAGGTACTCCAGTGGCATCTACTCAACGTATACAAACACCGCGGGGTATAAGAGCCGTTAGTTTTGATTCTTCCATAACTGCCGAGGAAGGAACAGTGATGCGAAGATCCCTATGCAGACCAGGGCAATCATATAATAATAGATGATCCATGCGTGTTGGGGATTCTTGATAGATAATGAGAACGTGGATGTAGCGGATGCGGGGCCGATGGCTCGCACGATCGACACTCCCAGCTGAGCAATCCCATTTGTTGTACCAAATGACGCTTGGTTCGGAGACGCTGCCGCGATATAGATAAATACGCAAGCTGAAAGAGGTCGTGGTCAACACAAAGAACAGTAATACGATGCAGGAACTGACCATATGCAAGATTTAATATCATCGAGAAAGCAAGTTGCAGGCCAACAATCGCCCATAATGTGAAACTCAGACCCTGCACTCTTGCGACAGCATTGAGGATGGGGAAAATGACAATCATTGGAACTCCAGCAACCATTGCCGCAGAATATATTATCTTTGAGCCGAACCGGTCATGCAGATCGGCGAAGAAAAGGATTTGGAACAAGCCGTTGATCACACCATAGATAGCTAGGATATTGCCGATTCGCGGAGGATCTAGTCCCAACCCACCAAGTTCTATCGGTGTGGCGAAGAACAGAGGTTGTACGTCACGAAATGCGATATCAAGAAGTGACAAAGCAGCGTAGTTTCCAGCAGCTATGATCACTCTGGGAATCAACAATGAGCGAAGAGGTAGTGGTTTGGAGTCATCGCCGTTTGCAGGTCGAGCAGCATCTTCTGTGCTCAGGGAATCACTTGATGCTGTTGGAGTCACGGGCCCAGGGATGGTATCTTTGTGGTATTTGCTCCTGAGAAAACGCCCGAGAGTCACCCTGGTGGGTACAGTCTGTCAATCATAAGTCATCAACTCTTATGCTTGCATGCTAGTTCGAAATAACGTGCCTCTCGCAAGAAAAGGAACGTCACGATCCAAGCCAGTGCAGAGAAGGTGGCAGGTACAGCGCATGCAAGGAAATATGGATAGGTCTTCAAAAATTGCGAATGACCGAAGACGTTCGGAAATTGTTCAACTGGACGTGATAACAATCCACCTACAAGGGGGCTGCGAAGATTATCTCATTTCAAGATACAATATAGATTATCACATAGGTACATACCCTATGGTCCCACCCGTTGACCAAGCTAAAGGCATATATGCATACGCCTGGGCTAAGTTGGTAGAGTCGGTAATGTCCACCATCATACTTTTGATTACGCCAACATTGCCGTTCAAAGCACCGTTAAGAGCACGGCTGAGTGTTGGAGGGAACAAGATAGATCAGAACTATCACAAAAAGAGAACAAAATGATCGAACCTTAGTACGAGTCCAGAAAATGTCGTAGATAGGCCGAAACAATACATCGAGATAGATAATCCAAACAGGCCTGTCAAAATGACAGGCTTCCGTCCAATGTGGTCCGATATGCGACTCCAATGAAGAACGGTGAGCGCTTGTGTGGCAAAGAACAGGGAGTACTGCATATACTTGAAGGTGAGGTATAAGTATGGTGCAATTCAGACTCACCATCAGTCCGACATAGTATCCTACACTGGTTTCATCGCCATTTGTAATGCCGATATCCCTTATTAACTGGTACGCGGCGAACATCAAATACTCATCAATTGATTCAGCCATGAAAAAACAAACCTGAGGTGCGAATGGGGCGATAACTTGTGAGGTAAGTGGTTCCGCAAGCTGGAGAAACAGTATGATAGAGAATTGACGCCAAGGCAATGGTGTCCTGGCCTTCCGCTGCAGGGGAAGCAAAGGCGTCTCTTCGTCCAGCTGTTGTTGGGACATGATCTATTGCACCCTTCGGGAAGTGATGAGTGGGAGAAAGAAACCTGTATAGAGGTTCTGTATGATACTACTATAAGGCTTGGTACATTAATTAATGTAATATATAAGCGAAAGATATGCGACTCACACTGAGTCACATTCAAGTTATGTTATAGCTACAAATAGCACTTCTGAGTGAAGACGGAGGCTGGTGGTCAGTCCCACGAAATACTGGAACGGTATCGATGAATGAACAAGCATGATTTCATCTATCGTTGACCTAGAAATAATCGGCGGCAAATCGGCGGGAATTCCGTTAAAGTTCCTTCAAGTTGTACATACCTCTGCCAACATCCAAACCTGAAGCTTTAGCCATCCAAAATGCGCAATTTGAATGGCGGATAGCCACCATCGACTCGATCCTGAACCGAAACTCTTGTGAATGAAAGGTCATATTCAGCTCCAGGCTGGCCAGCGGCTAGTTGGTCAATTCTAAAATGTGGTTGACCTTCAAGTGAGGCCTTCGGAAGTTCGGCCCGACACCGATTTGGCCATCTATTTCATGTTGCATTGTCCGCCGCTCATCATCTCACTCCCTGCCTAAAGCTTCGCCTCCTATAACGCCTGAATTACCTCCTCCCTCTTCCGATCTTAACGTGT